AAATATTTTAATTCATGTATCACAGCTAGCCACAACCATTCTGGTCACAGACGGCTATTGGAAGAGCAAGACTTTAGCTCAAGAGAAAGTTCAATCTTACTACAATACTGTAATGAAACAGTGATTAAAGTTAAAATAACTTATAGTCAGTTGTCTGGGGGAAAAAAAAAGTTAGGAGAGAGTAAAACTAGACCCATGTGAATGTTGTCAGTTTTTCTTTTCCTGAGAAAAAAGCAATTTCAACTTTTTGAGACAAAATGTTTTTACAAGTTCTGCATTCTGATCATACAAAGTAAGACTCCCTACAAAACTGTAATCTTTGTGTATTACATCTGGTACTTTACCTGCTTCACTCGGTCCATCTTCAGTTTTTTTGCTGCAGAATAAACATCTTTTACTAATTCCTTATCAGCTTTTAATCTATTCAAAAGAAAAAAAAAAAGTTATTTATCATTCACGGTATTAAGGCTTTAAAGCACAAATACTTAAATAAATTTACAGACTTGAAATTTCCTGATGATACTCCCTAATTATACAGTTGATGGTAGTCCCCCCTTATCCATGGTTTCGCTTTCCACAGTTTTAGTTACCTGCGGTCAACCACAGTCTGGAAATATTATGGAAAATTCCAGAAATAAACAATTCCGAAGTTTAAAACTGTGCACCACTCTAAGTAGCACAATAAAATCTTACTCCATCCCGCCAGACCTTGAGTCATCTCTTTGTCCATCATATCCACACTGTACACACTACCCACCTATTAGTCACTTGAATAGCTGTTTTGGTTTTCAGATCAACTGTCATGGTTGATGGAAAAAACATAGTATCTATAGAGTTTGGTACTACGTGTGGTTTTAAGCATCCACTAGGGGACTTGGAACATACCCCCACAAATAAGGGAGGACTACTGTCCTTCAAAGTACTTACTGAGCTGTGTAAGCATAATTCAGCAAGACTTCAACAGCTTCTGGATTGAGATCATCAAATTTAACATGAGAAACTCCATGAGGATCACTATCACTATTAAAAATTTCAAATAAATAGGGACTGCAGCAAGCCAGGACTGCTCTGTGTGCTAACATCTCATGGCCACAGACCTGAAATTGTGAAGAATTAAAATCAGAAGTATTAGGGACTGTATTTCTCTATCTAAATTATGACATTTGACTCCACAGTCTTACATTTCCAGATAAAGCATATTTCTTAAAATCATTTCCTTCAACGCCTACTATGAAAGGATGGTAGACAGGTAAAAGGGCTTGGCTGCTAACCAAAAGGTCGGTGGTTTGAGTCTACCCAGAGGTTTTGGCTGCTAACCAAAAGGTTGGTGGTTTGAGTCTACCCAGAGGCATGATGAAAAAAAGGCCTGGTAATATACTTCTAAAAAATGAGCCACTGAAAATCCTATGGAGTAGTCATACACACATGGGGTTGGCATGAGTTCAAAGAGACTCTGTATCAACTTAAAAAAAAGACGAACTCAATGCCATTGCGTCAATTAGACTCACAGCGACCCCTCCTTGGGTTTCTGAGGCAGTTATCGCTACAGAAGTAAATTGCCCAATCTTCCTTCTGAGGAATGGCTGGTGGGTTTGAACCGCCAGCCTTCTGGTTAGCAGTCAAATGCCTTAAGCACTATGCTACCAGAGCAACTCGTTATGAAAAAGAAAATAAGCAAATCCAACAATGTGTAGCTCATTGTAATAAAAGATTGTGTTTCCAAATAAACTTTAAATACCTGAAGTCGAACATCACAGAACTGCCCACTTTTCCTCAGGGCATTTAATTTGGCAACAGACGACTCAATGAAATTTTCATCTTCAAACATTAAATATCCATTAGGAATCATTTTTTCTTTTAAATTTGGCTACATATGGAAGAAAGAATGCTGAGTTACTATACTGGTAAACAGAAGCTTTTAAAATTACATTTCAAAGATTAATATAGTATCTTTATCCTCAAATTCCATCCCACCAACAACACGCAAAACTTTTATCACACAAAAACATTGGTGAAAAAACAATAGCAATGAATGTCCAAGTCTCTTCAACCCCATATTTTGGTCATAAGTCTATTTAGGAATTCATGCAATAGTGAGTATCTCAACAGTTTTGGCCAGTTTTCCATGCCTTTCAGCACTTATGTTCTAAAGGAAGAAAATGGAAACCCAGCCCAGCCTGTATGTAACAAGCAATCTAAAAGTCTGGAAAAATGCATAGTAGCCATTACTACAGATTTCCTTGGATTTGGGCTGCTTTCACCTTCATTCTTACAAATAAAAAAAACTATTAAGAGATTCTAATCCTATTCCTTCTTCTGTTTTTTAAAAGGCCCTCAATTTGACTCTATTCCTCAGTCATATATAATCGACACTTAGATGTAGAAAATTGTCTAATTTGATTGTCAACTATACCTAAATACACTTAAAAGTCTTGGCAGCAAATGATTTTTATAAGCGCTTTGAAATATATAAGGAAAACAGTTTTTTTTTTAAAAAAAAAAAAAACTTAAACTTGGTGTTCCAAGTTTCAAATAATTCTAAATCACCTTATTTCATCACATTACATAGTAAAACTTAAGTTCTTTTAAGTTTTTCCCTTTCACCTCTACTTATAAACCACTGACAAACAGCTACACAAAATGCATCATCAAAAAGGCAGGGATAGATTTCATTTAAAGTAAATGCTTGATTTAAATTCAGAATCATTTACAGGAGGCAATATGGATTTTTTCCCCAAAAAATGCTATCATCACCAAACTTGAAAGGTTGTTATTTTCCTCAGCAAAGTCTGTAGAAAAAACAATTATGTCTTAATGCTGGACTCAGCAATGAATATTCACTTACCTACTATACTGGTAAGAAATGTAATTCTGGGAAGTCTTAAATAATCCAAAGATACAGGAGTGTTAATATGTAGTACTTCGTCCAGGTATAAAGATAGGTAGGTGAAGTGAAGGCAAATGTGTCTTAAGCTCTAATGCTGATTCCAAAACTATCAGGCTTGAAAATGATGTAATCAAGTCCTTAAAAGCTATAGACACGAATTTCTTCTGTGGTAATCATGCATCATAATCTGTAATAATGACAATTTAAATTAGATAGTCAGAATGATCAAATATTATCATTAATCTAGATCAAGCATAGATCATGTAAGTTCTGATCTTGATGCACTCAAAATCCTGAGGTAAACAGCAAAAATAGTCACACTGCAGGAAAAAAAAAACAACATAAATGCAATTTAAAATTTTTCCCTCAACTTGCAACTACTCAGGTGATATAAGGAAAAGGGAGGAGGAGGGGAAACCCCCCCCCCAGGAGCTGGCTAATGGCTTTTTATTCAAGTGGGAGGTACAAAGACAAGAACATAGTACAAATACACTGGTTAACTCTACTATTCTTTATTATTTATTATATTCCAACTAATATGCAAACACGTGATTACTTATTTTTAAAACCTGTTAAAATACAGTTAGGGAATTTCACCAGCGAACAAGCAATCTTCAGGTATTATCCCTAGACATGTACACAATGTTATACTCAAACCAGATGGACTGTTCCCCAAAATGTGCTCTGTAATTCTGTAATCAAGTTGTTTGCCTTTAACCCAACTTCTGCCAGATGAAATCTTACCTGCTCCACAGAGCCTCTGCCAAATCTCTCAGTTGGGACATAATTCCTTCCCATCCCCTTTCTTGAAAAGTATATAGAATTATCTAGCTGTACATTTTGTGTTGTGCTTATGTGTATCTGTTTATCTACCTTGATTCGAGGCCTCTTAAAGGCAAAGCCTCTGTTCATCTTTGCATCCATCCCATCTCATCCCACAGTTATTCTAGAAACTTAGAGAAGCAACTTGTTGAAATTAATTAAATAAACAAAAAGGGAAAAGACTGATGCTTATGCTATGGATAATTTCTTTTCTGGTACATATTAGTAATAAAACAACAGCAATGGAGTAACTCTAATTCAAAGCAAATCTTCACATTTAACAATTATGTTAAAGTGAGTAATTATTTACCCTAGGACTACTGACGGTAGTTCCAGTTCCAATTCAACAAATCTATTGTGTCATGTTCAACATAAGCACAAATCTGCAATAACTGGATCCCGTAAGTCCTAATGAGTTTTGCCATAATTTAGGATTAATTTAAAGGAAACCCAAGTATTCTGACTGAGGCTGGGACTGCTGTCGATGCTTACCCCTGCAACAAAAGTGTATCATACTACAGGTGTACCCCGCCATCCAGAAGTAGAAATCTTTTGGAAGCCAAAATGCCGTAAACCAAAGAAGCAATTAACATTAATCTATGTGGGAAAACTGTTTGAGTGTTCCCAAGCCCAAAACATAACCTACCAAATAACACATGAAACCTCAAATAACCCTAAAACACTGTGCACAGATATACTTCAAAGCCATGGCAGCTTGATGCAGAGTGTAGATAAAGGGGAAGGAGATTGGCGATGCCATTCTCAGTATGCACTGCCTCCTTAACGGCTCCTAAATAGCTCACTGCAAAACAACCACTGAATATTAGTTTCACTTTTCACCTATTTTCATATAAATAAAAATCTCTTCAGATTTCTTTCATTAACGAAAACAGATACTAATGTAGGTCTTCATAAAGGCAAAGATATATATTTCCTCAACTTTATGCTTCATCCAGCTTGATTAATTCTGCTTAGGAAACCAGTTCTAACAAATTAAATGTTCTCCAAATACATATAGAAAATATATCCTAAAGAAACCATCAAACATTTCCAGCCAAGACCTGATTCGATTTAAGAAAATCTTTGTATATATGGTAGACACACACACACACACACACACACACACACACACTGGGTGACCATGCTATAGGCATAGTTGGCAACTCCTCACTTCAGTTTCATAAAGTGCTCTCAAAACAAGGGTGAAGTGTTTGTGTGGGAGGCTGCCACAAGCAAATTATGTTATGGTTAAAATGTGCCCTTTGAAAAACCAAAACTAAATAAAAATAATTTGGAAATTTCTAAATACTTTAAACTCTGACAGTTTTACTCGGTATTTACTTGGAGACTAGTCATAATCTCAGCAAGAATTTAAAATGGCATCTATGTACTATATACTGTTAATTTACATATCAGAAGATTTACTTTGTTTTGGGGGAAAATTGACAATTAAAATCACTGCAGTTCTTTGGGAAAAACAATGAAGAACTGTTGTAGCAATTCTTGGCATATACATTTGTACAATGTTACTAGTTCTGCAATACAGTTAATTCCTACTACTTTTAGTACTTGGTGATATTTTTGGTACCTGAAGGCCTTATACAATAAGGACTCATCTCTTTAGTGTATCTACTTATCAGTATAACCCTACTTGATTTTAAAACCAAGCCCAAGTGTAAGTGTCATTTAAGTTAATGTATTTATTTTATCCAAAAGCTTGTCCTCACACACTATGTCCCCACTCCCACCCACTCCCATATTTGGAAAGGGCTTGATTAACTCCTGCCTGCAAAACCCTATCTAAAAGTTTTCACTCATTTTCAAAGAAGATTTTGGCAAACCAAGTTTTAAGCCACCTCCCAAAATATTCACCGATGATCTTAGTTTGGTCTCTAAAACTCAAAGCACAATAACAAGTAGAATTGAGAAAGAGGGGTATTTTTTTTCTTTGAAAAGCCAAAGTCCAAACATCCCAGAGCCATATAAAAGTATAAAGCTTAGAATTTTGTTTGGTGTTTAAAATATACTTTCAATGGATCCACTTTTAAAATTACATATGGGATGAAAAACAATATAGTTTGATAAAATAGTTTCAGTTCCTTATGATGGCCAGTGCAAAAATGAAGACAGAAGAGTCATAATGAGTAATTTAAATTGCGTCGTGACACCTAAAAGTTGACAAGTAACCACAGACCCAGAAAAAGACTAGCATAACTTAAATACAATTCAACAGGTCTATCAGAGTTGTAAAAAAAAATGCAGGCATAATATGCCTTCCCCAAATTTTTCTCTGGCCTTCAGTAAGAACAAGAGCAGGATAAAATGTTATTGTCCAACTTTCAAAGCTCCCATGAAACCTCAAACCAAATTACAAACATTGTCTAATCTTTCAGGCAACTTTTTGAGGGAAGTCAACAGACACTAAACTCCATTTTAAAGGAGTGACTTTATAATACAAAAATAAACTACTAGATATTTTTAAAAACATAAGTCATCTCCTCCTAATGTCACCTTTGAAACTACTATCACCAATCTCACTTGCCCCATGCTTTTAACCTCATGGTTTTTCTAAGTCTACAAACATTTGTGACACCAACCTTATATGCTAGACACAATGTGGTCTGTTGTTGTTGGTATGTGCCATAGAGTCGGCCCCGACTCATAGCGACCCTTCCTTGGGTTTCCGAGGCAGTATCACTATGGAAGTAGATTGCCCCATCTTCCTTCCAAGGAGTGGCTGGTGGGTTTGAACCGCCAGCCTTCTGGTTAGCAGTCAAGTGCCTTAGCCACTATGCTACCAGAGCTCCTCAATGTGGTCTAGGGTACTCATAATACAATAAAGTTATCTCAATTTCCCAGTCTTGGGCACTTCACAGACAGCCAGGGGAAGACAATAAAAATAGCTCAAACAAAAGTGAAGAAGTTTGACAGCACGTGTATCCTATAAACTGAAGATACTTGGGTTTTTATAGATTGTAGGATGCAAGAAACTGATTTTAAGGTTTAAACAATACTAAATATGAATAGTATATGAAGGATTTTAAGTGAGCAAGCATAGGGTACACTGGTAGGAAGGTGAGGATAGTCTGGGGGAATGGGTACAACATAAGCTGAGCAATTAAAGATAATGTATACCCCATGCTTAGTCCTTACTTAACTAAGCCAGTGAGAATTTAAGATACTGTAGCTTAATGTGTGGCACTGTGGACAAAATCAGTATCCAAATTAAGAAACCCAAGAAGACTATAGATGCAGAGGACATCAAGCTCAATTGGCATAACATACTGTACAAAACATTGTTCCACCTCCTACTTTGGCAAGTAGCGACTGGGATCTCAAAAACTGCAAGCTGCCATCTAGATGCAATGATGGGTCTCTCCTCGTCCAGAGCAAAAAATGAAGAAAACCAAAATTCATGGAAACAGTTAGTCCTAGCGACTGGTACACCATCCAATCTGCAGCCTATATGACTATGAGACCAGAAGAACTAGATGGTGCCCGGCTACCACTGTCATCCACTTGGAAGGGGATCTATGTAGGAGATCCTTGATAGAGAGGAAAAAAAAAGTGAAAAAAAAAAAAAAAAAAAAAAAAGAAAAAAAAAAGGGGGGGGGGGAGACCAGGTTTGCTGGTCCAATAGAGCCTGGTGGAACCACTGAGACTATGGCCCCTAGATGCCATAGGGTCTGGAATGGAACTCACACCCGTGGTTTCCATCCAAACAAAAGACATGCATATGAGTTGAACATTTACCTCAGGTAGATACAACTCCTTGGAGAGAACAATCATGGGAGAAAGAAGGGCTGCTTATGCACAGGGAGACTGCTCAGGGGGCAGGAGTGCATGGAGAGATGGACACAGGGAAGAGGTAAATATGGGGAGGAAGTGGGAGGGGAGCTGTTGCATTGTGGTAACCTGTGGTCAATGTCATGGGACAAAGTGTATGTGAACTGCTGTATGGAAAGTGAATTTGCTCTGTAAATCTTCACCCAAATCACAATTTAAAAACAAAACAAAACAAAACAGAAACCCTATGGAACAATTCCACTCTTCACACATGGGGTCTCCATGACTTGGATCAACTGTACAGTTACTTAAAAAAAAAAAAGAAACCCAAGAAGCATTAAGAGTCATATTTAATTTGCTGCACTGTACAAGGAAGCAAGTACATGTGGCATTTGGTTTGGGGCACTGTGATACTCAGGTACCTACCTGTCAGCAACCGGGTGAAGGAAGGAATATCTATCTAGGTATAAGTTTAGAAATCACTTAAAAGGTGGTAACTGAAGCTATACAAATTAAGACAATGTATTTTCTTTGGTTCTAACAAAACCTAGAAAACACTCATTTATACCACCTCAATCCGCACTCCTTAGAACACCGAGGGCAGGGTGAGTGTGTGGAGGGGGGGAGCATTCCAAACTTTAAGAATTCCTAACCATAGGATTTGACTATAATAATACCGTTAAGAAGATCAATGAAATTATTTTTAAGGGTACTAATAATTACAATATTTCCTTAACAGGAAAGCATTTTACATTAACCTGAATTTCCTTGTTTTTGGAAGTTTAAAAAATAGAACTACAAATTAAGACAATGGTTACAGAAATTAACATCTATTAATCAATTTAGAGATTTCATCTATTAAGTAAATTCATAAGAAAACCATTCCAGGTCTCTTTTTGGTCACTGGCTCAAATCCAGTTTACTTCCTTCCACCTACCAGAATTCTGCTGACTGGCATTAAGTGGTACTAGTCTCAGTCCGATTCTAATGGTGTTTCCTTATTCTCCAGATTTACAAACGTAACTGGCTCCTTTTGCATCTTTAAGACAATAGCATCATCAGGATCATGACTAAAACTATTCATCAGCATTTTCTTACTCCTAAGCGATCTGCTTCTGAAAGGTTAACAGCCTTGAAAATTCTACGGAACAGTTCTGTGCACATTTGGGGTCCCTGAGTTGGAATTCCCTGGATGGCAACTTACAACAGATCAACTGCTGGTGCTAGAATCAGTGGTAGTAGCCTAATCCATGGGAGCTCTGGTAGCATAGTGGCTAAGACACTTGCCTGCTAACCAGACGGCTGGCGGTTCAAACCCACCAGCCACTCCTCGGAAGGAAGGTTGGGCAATCCTACTTCCGTAGTGATAACTGCCTCGGAAACCCAAGGAGGGGTCGCTATGAGTCGGGGCCGACTCAACGGCACATAACAACAACAACAACAACAGCCTAATCCATGCTGTACTTGTTTTACTGTTACAATAGAGCTGTTGTTGTCAGATGCCATCCATTTGGCTCCTACTCATAGCCATCCCATGTAAACCAGAATGAAGCACTGCCCAGTCCTGGGCCATCTTCACAATCTTTGCTGTGTTTGAGCCCATTACTGAAGCCACTGTATCAATTTCATTGAGGGTCTTCCTCTTTTTCACTGACCCTCTAGCTTACCAAGCATGATGTCCTCCTCCAAGACTGGTCTCTCCTGATAACATATCCAAAATACATAAGATGACACCATCTTCGCTTCTAAGAAGCATTTTGGCTGTACTTCTCCCAAGACAGAACTAGGCTTTCAACGAAAAAGACTGACATTTGCCATTGGGATCTTGTCTTGATAAACTGACAGCAAACCAAAAAAACCAAACGCACTACCGTCCAGTCGAATTCGACTTACAGCAACCCCTCCTTGGGTTTCCGAGGTGGTATCACTACGGAAGTGGATTGCCCAACCTTCCTACTGATACCAATGTTCATTTTTATTGCAAATGAAATGATTAGCTCTTTTTAACACCATAAGCTTCACCTTTCATTTATTATAGAAGACGAAGAAACACAAGTCCTCAAAGAACATCTTAATGCCAGGATGTTCTAATCCTCCATCACTGACAACAGATATTAGTTAACAAAAATAAGCCTTTAATGAGTCTGATTTCTACTTACTGTACAGTACCCAAAATATCAGTTATCTCAAACCAATTAACTTGTCTACTACATATTAGAAAACAAGTGAGTATTTCTAAGGTATTTCTGATGCAAATTTACCTATGTGCAACTCTCAGGCTGATACTGCCTGATATCTTCCCATCATCACGACACTTTACAAAATGGTTGGAAGGGCAGAAGAGTAAACCTCTCCGCCGATTTCTTCACTTAAAAAAAACAAAAAACTGGTGAGAGCTCCAGTGACTGGACCAGCCCAGGCCTTCCACCCGCAAGACCCGGCTGGCGCCCACTCGGAAGGCTAGGAGGCAAGGCACCCAGCGCCCGCACACCTCCGACCAGGATTGGCCGGCCCCGCAGTCATTCAGCGCCGACACGTCAGGGCAGCCGTTCGCTCTCTCCCTCCTCCCGCCCCCTTCTCCCCGCGCTTGGCAAGAAAAGCGGGCAACGTGGAGCGGGAACAAAGGACCCCGCGGCCCACGGCGATCGAAGACGCAATGACTCCTCACTCCAGTCCTACGAGACCGCTGTGCCCCTGAGGCTGGCTACCAGGAGGTCTTACCGAAGAGAGTCCAAATCCCAAGCACAGAGACTGGGGCGATTCCCGCGCCCTCCCCCTCTGGCGGGTCATCTCGGCCCCGCAGAGCCCTGGCCCAGCCTCAGGGGGGCCTCTTAGGCAAAAACCTGATTCTTCCCGCTCTGCTTCCCCTGCTCCCGTGGGGAGAAGGGACCCAAGTCCCCGCGCTATTCGAGGCGGTCGGTGCCCGCCCTCGGGCACCAATGCGACTCAGCAACCATGGTAGCGCCGAGAGCGCGTGGCCGCGTGGCGCCGGCTCAGCGCCAAAGAGAACAGCGGCGTCGGCTTGGGGCGTCCTTCCTCTGAGACCAGGACACCGCTCTGCGCCTCCCACCCTCCCCTGGCAGCCTGCGCTCTCTCCCTCCTCCGTTGTAGGTAGAACCAGCACGTATTACCTGGTTTCTCTCTGTAGAGGTGGAAAAATTCATCTCTGAAGCTTCGATGGGGATCAGGAGGAAGCGGGCGGGAATCGGCCCAACGGAAAGCGCCTCGAGACGGCGGAGGGGAGGGAGCAATAGGGCAGGAGGACGAGTGGCCAGTCCTCGGAGGCTGCTAGCAGGCAGAGGGCCACCAAAGGTTCGCGTGGACGTGATGGCTGGCTTCCACAGCAGAAAGAAAGGAAAATGCACCCAGCACCTTCAAGCGTCTAACCTCCACGCGCGTCCGGGAGATACTGCCGCCGCCGCTGCCGCCCGCTCTCACCGCACCCCCTCGCACGTCACCACGTGCGCCGCAGCCGCCGCCGCCGCCAACGCCTCCCCGTGGCTTCCGGCTCGAATCTGTCCACGAATCAAAGAAGATCGCGCTTGCGGCCCCGCCCCCTCTCGCCCCGCCCGTTCTTTTCCTTAGGCTCTGGGGCTGCTTCCTTTTTGGCTGAAGTAGGTCAGCGCAAGGTGATTTTAGAGAGAGAAACAGCGCTCAAGGCGCGCCTCCTTTTACAAATCAGGCCGTCCCCTCCCTCGCCCCACTCGGTCATACCGTCCTCACTGTCAGGGAACAGGTTTCTTCCAGCCGCCCTCACCTGCTCTATACCCCTAGGGGCACAGAGATCAGATGTGGGAGATTAGATTTTTTTTGGCGTCAGACTTTCGTCTAGGCAACCGCCCGTTGCCCCCTGCCTAGAGTTGCCTACAATAGCAGGCTTTAGAGTCTGTGACTGGCCATCAGTCCTTTTCTTTTGCGGGAAAGAGGAATGTGGCGGGGGCGGGGCGGGGAGGAGGCGCGGAGATTATGAGAAATACGCAGAGGGAAAAGGGTAGAACAACTAAGCTGTCATTTGGTATAGTTCGGGTAAGAGGCTTCAATAACTTGAAGAAAACAATTAGAGAGGTTAGGGAAGGCATAATAATATAAATGCTACTATAACTTGTTTATTTCTGCTTTTCATTCCCCAGGTTTGTTTTGTTTGCAGCAACTCCTGGAGTCTGAGAATAACAGTCTTTATTGGTCGTGCACTCTTTGGAAAAAGAAAATAGCCTTGGTAGTTCCTTAGCTAACCTCCTGGGGCCTTTTAGACCGGATTCTGAGCTTAATTATTCGCCTCACCCCTTTGTCCCCAGGAGGCAAATCTGTTAAGGTAGAAAGTGATTTATGCCAGCTCTGGCATCTACTTCGTGTGACTCTAAAGGGCACCCCGGAAGGTCTCCTTGATTGAAGGTGAGGGGCCTTAGTGAAGTAAAGTTGTATCCAAATTAGAGTATTGCATCGGTTTCCAAGTTAATGTTCTGTTAACTCATCCTGATTTGAAGAGGACACTTAAGCGATTTAGCCTAGCCTTGTTTTTATTTGATCAGTCAACTTAATTTGTAGAAGTTCAACAACTTAGTTTATACTTACGTGATCAGGAAAAATTATTTTGGGAGCTGCTGCAGTACAAGCTTTACAACTTTTTATCCCAAAATTTTGAGGCCAGGATACTTCTTCACTTTCTTTTTTTCTTTTCTTTTTCTTTTTTTACTTGTGGGAGGAAGCAGGAACTAGGAACATCTATTAGTTTGATTCTTATATCTTTCTTGAGTAAAACCACTGACATTTACCACTGGGCTTCTGTTTTGTCTTGTTGGTAATACAGACAGCAATACTCATTTTATTGCAAATAGAACTACTAGGGCTTTAATATCATAGGCTTTATCCTTCTAGTGAGAGGGTGTGAATTGCCCACTTTGAGTAAGCACATGACTGTGTGACCTGCTGGACACTCTTCCCACTTGTTGTTATCTGCCTGTCCCACTTGTTGTTGTTATCTGCCTGTGGACTCGGTGGATTCATAGCGACCCTTCTCCTTGGGTTTCCAAGGCAGTATCACTACTGAAGTAGATTGCCCCATCATCCTTCCCAGGAGTGGCTGGTGGGTTTGAACCGCCAGCCTTCTGCTTTCTGTGCTCTAAATAGTACCTTTGTGACCTGAAAGAGTCAACATTTTTCTTAAAGGTACAGTATGATCAGAGTGAACACATTTTTTTAAAAAACTATTGTTGATTTGGGTGAAAGTTTACAGAGCAAATTAGTTTTCTATTCCTACACGTTTTGTTTCCTGACATTGATTGCAGTCCCCACAGTGTAACAACACTCTTCCCATTTCCTCACTATGTTTCCTGTTTCCGTTTGTCCTTCTTTCCTGCCCCCTCTGGCCATCTGAGCTTTGTTCCAGGGCAAATACTGCCCTTTAGTCCTTGTATGGTTGGTTGGTGTAAGAAATGCATACTTCCCTCTTGTTACTGTTCACCTTATGGGCCTGTCTATCATTTGAGTGAAAGTTGAACCATGGGGGTGAGTTCAGTTCTGGGCTTGAATGGTGTCTAAGGGCCATAGTCTTGAGGGTTCCACCAGTGTGTACCAGACCAGTAAGCCTGGTCTTTTTTTTTGTTTTTTTTTCATGATTATGAATTTTATTCCATGTTTTTCCCCCACTCTATCCAGGACCTTCTATTGTGAGCCCAAATCAGAGTGGTATGTAGTGCTAACTGGGCACCATCTAGATTTTCTGGTCTCATGGTCATGGAGGCTAAGTTTCGTGTGGTCCATTGAATCTTTGATTTTCTTCACTCTTCTTTGCTCCAGACAGGGTGAGACCAATAGTTGCATCTTAGATTGCCACTCACAAGTTTTTAAAACCCCAGTTGCTACTCACAAAAGTAGGATATAGCGTACTGTATTTATGGAATAAAACCAAAAAAACCAAACTCACTGCTGTGGAGTCAGACCCTCATAGTGACCCCTCCTCGGGTTTCCGAGGCAGTATCACTACAGAAGTAGATTGCCCAATCTTCCTTCAGAGGAGTGGCTCACGGGTTTGAACTGCCAGCCTTCTGGTTAGCAGTCAAATGCCTCAGGCACTAGGCCACCAGAGCGCCTATTTATGGACTATGTTATGCTAATTGACTTTGATGGCCCCCAAGCTCAGTGATAGAGTCAACATATATTTTTGCATTTTATGGAATTTCACATTTATATATTACCTTTTCTATGAATAACAGCATAATTTATACCTTCCAGGCAAGTCTAGATTTAAGTCAGTCTAGCCAGCTACTATATAACACAGGCTAAAACTAAACAGAACTTGATGGACAATTTTAATCTTTTTAAGCAAAAAATTATGTTGGTCTTAATATTTAAAATAAAATATATTTGAAGAGTGCTTAATAAAAATAAAGGCCATCAATTTCTTGAGTACCTATGTGGTTTTTTTTAAAAAAAAAACCAAACTCACTGCCATGGAGTCAATTCTGACTCATCATGACCCCCATTGGGTTTCCGAGGCAGTAAATCTTTTACAGAAGTAGATTGCCCAGTCTTCCTTCTGCAGAGTGGCTGGTGGGCTTGAACCACCAACTTTCTGATTAGCAGTCAGATGCCTCAGGTACTGTGCTATCAGAGTGCCTTCCTATATGAGTTTGGCACTGAGAAAGATGAATTAGGAATTGATGCCTATCTGCTATCTTTCCATTTTCCTCTCTGATTCTGCTTCCAATTTGTTCTAGTCCCTAAACTGATTGGTGTTTTGTTCATTCTCTAGGTCAATGTTTTACAACTATGGTCCATTGACTACATTTGCCTAAATCACCTGGGGTTCTTATTAGAAGTGCAGGTCCCTAGGCTTCATCCTAGACTTGTGAATCTCAAAGGAGGGAGATGATTTTGCATCTAGGGAACTTTTGGCAATGTTTGGAAACTTGACTTGGGTATGTGCTGCTGACATCTAATGGGCCTGGAATGCTGCTAAACATTTTACAATGCACAGGACAGCTCCCTCACCCCACAACAAGAATTATCTGGTCCAAAATGTCAATGGTACCATGGTTGAGAAACCCTGCCCTAGACCAGTGGTTCCCAATGAGGGGCTAATTTGCAGTGCCTGGGAATATTTGGCAAAGTCTGGTGACAGGTATCACAGCTGAGGATATTCTCCTGGCACCTAATTGTTTATCAGTTTCTTACTGCTTCATAACAGATTACCACAAACTTAGCAGCTTGAAACAGCACACATTTTTATCTCACTGTTTCTATGGCTTAACTGGATACTCTACTTAGGATCTCATGGGCTGCCATCAAGGCCCTGGCTGGGTTGTATTTTCATGTCGAGGCTGAACTAGGGAGAATCTGCTTCCAGGCTCACTCAGGTTGTTGGCAGCCTTCATTTCCTTATGTCTGTAGATAAAGAAATGAGAACTGAGAGAGGTTAAGAAACTTGCCCAAAGTTGGGCTACTTGAAGTTCTGGCCAGGGATCTCATACAGGTTAATCTCCCCTCCCACATGCACAGTTTTTATTGTAGTTTGGGTGAAAGTTTAAAAGTAAATTAGCTTTCCATGGAACAGTTTTACATTTTGTTTCATGACACTGTTGTAATCCCCTTGATGTAACAGCACTCTTCCCACTTCCTCCCTCTATTCCCTGCTCATTCATCCTCTTTCCTGCCCCTTCCTGCCTTCTGAGCTTTGTTTTTAGGCAAATGCTGCCCTTCTGTTCTCTGTTTGATTCTGGTTAGCTATTGGCCACTGGCCACACAACTCCTTAGAGGCCACCTTTAGCTCTTTGCCATGTAGGTTTCCTCAATATAGTCGATTATTTGAATAAGCCAGCAAGGAGAAGCTCTAGCAAGTCTGCTAGCAAAATGGAGTCTTACGTAAAATTTAACATAAGCACAAGAGTGACATCCCATCACCTGCTGTTGGACAGAAGCAAGTCACAGGTCCAGCTTGTGTTCAAGGGGAGGGGATTGCACAAAAGTGTGAACACCAGAAGACAGAGATTGTTAGGAAATTCTCCATAGAGTTTGTCTGCCATAAATGGATAGAGGGCTAAAATCCTGCTAACTATCCTACAGTGCACAGAGCAGCCCACCCCCAGCAAAGCATGATCCCTCCCAAAATGTCAATAATGCCAACATTGAGAAACTCTGCCCGATAATAATAATAATAAAAAATATTGCCATTGAATCCATTCTAACTCATAGTAATCCTATAGGATAGAGTAGAACTGACTCATAGGATTTCTAAGGCTGTAGTCTTTATGAA